ACGTAGACTTTAATCAATCATAACAGCAACCCTGTAGTAAATGACAGGTCCACAATAGAGGCATAATGGTACATTACACATTCCACTGATGTGAGACAAATGAATGCACTTACAAGCATCCGCTTTTGTCAACTCTGATTTAAAGGAATTCGTCATATTGTATGGTCAGTTCTTACTCAAACTGTGCTCAGTTTTACCGTAACATGTCAATTTCAAATCTTCCTGGGATTCGTCATAGTAAATTAAATTGGCAGTGTCATCTAATGCAGTCAGAGAAACAGTCCAATTGCTGTCCACACAGCTGCATTTTGCAGCCTTCCAGACTTATCTCTTTGGAAACCATAAATCAAATTAACCAGTGCATTTTTCAGGCCCAAATTAACTCTGCCCTTTCTCAAAGCAATTTAGATAACGTGATCTAACTGTTAGTACCACTTCCTTACTGCATATTCCTCTGCAATGTTCATAAGATTTTTCTGGATGCTGGGAGAAGATATGAATAGCTAGGAAACATGCCAAATAAAGGTTTGTGAATGTGAAGCACCTGAAAGATTAACAAGTGACATTAATCTAACATCTTGTTCCCAGTGATGGAGAACGGACAAAATGCGAAGAAATCCACTAACAGTACAAAGGTATTAATTCTTCCCCATTAGACCAGCATCTGGAATTTAGAGATAGAACGGCTGAAAATATGAAGCGTCGGATGCAGAAAATAGACGGTAAGACATGGTTGAATAAAAATAAAGGGATAGTAAGGAATAACAAGCTAAGAAAGAGTTGTGGTATTCAGCTGCATTCATAGAGTATTGTGATCATGTCTTCCATATATAGAGTGATCACATCTTCCAGTACAAGATTCCCAGGAAAGGGTGAGGGGGGGAAGGGTCCCTGCAGGGATCTCTGGGATCTCTTTGGATCAGATGACATCTGGGCTTGGGTCAATACTGATGGACTTCATGATGCAATTTGAATAATGCCAAAATTACAAGGCAAGATTCAATAACGTGGGCCAACATCTGGTGAAACAATTCAGGGAAGCTAGGGGTAGAATAGCATATTCCAGTTTTTCTTGATAGCCCCAAGTCTCCCTCCCCCAAGCAGAAACCAGCTCTGTAGAAATGCAGATGTAATAATCCATTCAGGAAAGTTGGAGGCCCCCAGCTAGAAGATTAAGAAGACAAAGACACCTAAAATCTACATACCCCATCCAAACTCCAAGACAGGACATAATAGGATTAACCCACAGATACCAAAGGGCACACACAGACTCAGGTCAAAGTACATGGCACAGGAAATACAAAGCCTCAAACAGGAACAGGAAACAACTCCAAACATAAGGCTCCAGAGGATATAAAAACCCGCTCTCTACATGTGCTCGCTCTCTTTTCTTCCAGAGCCATCTTTCTGTCTGGCTCTCCTCTTCAATAAACTGCAACCTTCTTTTTAAAGCAGTCTCCATGTTGTTTATTCCCGGCTTGGACTGAACCCTGATGAAGACTTTTCCTTCAACATGTGAAAAATAATCATATGTCACTTTTTCAGAGCTGTTGTAAATTTGAACGGTCACTAAATGAATTGAAAGTCAACGGCTACTTGTGTTAACTATAGAGAGGCTGCAGAATTTTTCATACAGTTCTTAGGAGTGAAATTTGATAAATAGATAAGCCCTTTCAAATCTGAAATTGAAAATGCTTCAGTTCTTTTACATGATAAAGAAACATTCAATTTTTTAAAAAATGTGTGAAGGATAGCCAAACGGATTTTAAAGCCCTTTTTTTTCTCTTTTAATGATGAAGTCTCATCATTATATTTGTTACTTAAAGAAGCACTGTTGTTTTTTTTTTTTTTAAAAAAAAAACAGATACTGAGGCCGTCTGCTGGTTTAAGGTCACATTTTAAATTTATCCTTGTAGTATATCTCCATGATTGGGATAGATCTAACCCAGATCTGTCATTTTTACAATCCGTCATTTCAGAGAACTTTCTGGAAAGAGGCTGGAAGCTTATTTTGTGCCCTTTCATTATTTAAGAATGGGTCTGTTTTGACAAATGAATGTTTTTACATTTGAGAAGTTTTTTGCTCAGTTGGCATCCAAGTCATGGGATTGGGAACGCAATGTGGTGGATGATGGGTTCCAAAGAGTGAACAATGACTAAAGCAGAAGGATTTGGGTATCCGGGTTTTCCAAAGAAAAAAAAACATAGGAAAATTCTCAAAGACCTCTCTACAGATGCCATGCAAACCTGGTTACATTTTCCAAATTCTGGAAAAAGGTAATCTGTAATAAAGTATGCAAAACATTGGCATGGTTTATTGATGAATTGCTTCAGCATCCATTTCTGAAGGTGCATGGAGAATCCTGGTAAAAGTATTAATTGTGATTAGGAACTTAAATCTTTGCAACAAATCTATATCTATTTTAGTACTACTTTATAGTTGCAATATTCCAGACCACACCTGGAATATTGCAATCCAGTTTTGGTCACTGTGATACAAAAAAGATATTGAGATTCTGGAAAGAGTGCAGAGAAGAGCAGCAAAGATGATTAGAGGGCTGGAGGCTGAAGAAAGGGGGAAATATAGTGAAATTACAGTATTTCCTTTCCACTTAACCTCTATTTCCTTCCTATTCAAAATTTCATTGTTGGAAGGCTTAAAAGAACAGGTTAAAGATAGATCATCGTTGAGAAAATCTATCCGTATGGTTGAGAGGAGTTCAAAATGACTTGATGACACATAATCAATCAATCCACCTACCAACCAATCAAAATCTTGACTCCAGGGATCACAGGCACCAGAACACAACAGTACAGAATACAATAGTTACATGGGTTTATTGAATCAAAGATTGAATGAAGTTGTCCCTTTAACACATACCGCAATTCTACTACATCTAATTACAGTGATCCACACAATTTCCCCAACTAATGGAAACAGAGAAGTTATCCCTGTCAGAGTATTACTCAAAATTGTCCTCCACAGTAACTCTTTCATTCCAGAAAGAATTTCCAGTGCAAAAATGATAGCCAGAGAAGAAACAGGCACAAAGCAGCAGATCACAAATTGCAAGCTGTAGAATAGACAAGCTTGTACACGCTGTGTTTACGTCTGTATACATTTCACATACTTTCCTGTACGAGAAGGAGAGGAAGAGCTTGGGGGCAGAGTCAAGAGAGGAATCAGCCTAGAATCGCTACATTCCCACAAGTGATTCTTAGTGCAACCGCTCTTGAATTCGGTTAGTTCTTATCTAGCACCAGTTTAGTGCTGACCATTAGTTGATTGGAGTCTTGTGTAGAGGCATGAACAATAAATCATCTTAACTGGAGTGTAATGTGTGCTCCTGATTCTTTGCACCTGACATTTTCCCAGTTTATGTACCTCCTCTTTGTTTCCATTTTATAATCTAAATGTGCTGGACTCTGATCTCTTGACTTTAATTAATCTTGTCATGGATCATTGTTACAATTTAGAAGACGGAGAGAAGCTAGTTTCATTCTTGAGCAGATGTTGATGTTTGTTTATTTATTTATTTATTTATTTATTTATTTATGGGACGTATGTGCCGCCGGTCTCATCCTTTTATCTTTTATCCATTAGTTATAGGCCAACCTTCTCTTCTTTATTGTTTTATTCCATCTTAGCATGCTTGCACACATCCCTGTGTTGAGACGGTCTACATCAGGGGGTGTCAAACTGCTGGCCTACAGGCCAGATGCATCATAAAAAAAACCCCACACTTTTTTTTTTTCTTTTAAGTTCTAGTTAAGCCTGTATTCAGCTCTGGGAAGATTGGGGGAGGGTTTTGGGGTGGGTTGGGAGGGACTGGGGAAGAGGATTTTACTGTAAAAATTTTAAAAATGTTCAACAAAAAACAAAAAACCCACACCTACCTTATTGCCAGCAATGAGAAAAAAAAGTTGTGATATGTCACGACACGTCACGTGACGTTACGAGTTTGACACCCCTGGCCCACATCCTTCATGAGATTAGTATTTATCATACAAATACATTTGTATTGTTTGGTTGCTTTTTAACTTTGTAACCCACCCAAAGTCGCCTCGTGTGGTGAGAAGGGTGACACATAAATTTAAGAAATGAATAAAATAAATAATTCTGCGATCACCAGAAAAGTCACATGCTAGGCAAATCTGCAATGCAATTTTGCATTCTAATGGGACACGGAGTCTGCCGGGTTGACTAGTCCTTGATTTCCGTGTCAGTCAAGAAACCCTTCCACCACGGATCTATTTGAAGTTAATACATAATACAGGAAAGAAGATTGTGTTTATAAAAAGAAAGCTAAGGCTTCATTGTTAATGGCTCAGAGAAATATCATTTATCCTCATGTGAAAAAAGTAAAAATGATGACTGCTCTTTGAAGGAATGTATGCTCCAGAATGTTTTTGTTCATAAGGGAGTTATAACTGACATAATATTTTGGACTCGGTAAGTCCTTTGACATCTTTATGTATTTATTTAAATACATCTCCCCCCCTCTAACTCCATGGCCTTAGAACAGCTTAAGGAAAAGTTCAACACATTTTTTAAATCAAGATGTCGAGACTCAGACCAAGCAAGCACCCTCAAGATGATCCAAACTCTTGATGCAAAACTTTATTGAGTACATCATTTCAGCACATATGAAAGCAAAACCAGCTCTGGGCAGCCCATATCCCTATAACAGTGGTGGCGAACCTATGGCACACATTCCAGAAGGGGCACTCAGAGCCCTCTCTATGGGCACGTGTGCCTCGCTGTTTGACTAGAAAAAGCCATTTCTCAAGCTCCTTCCTAGCCAAAACAAGCCTCCGGAGCGAGCACGCTGTTTTGAGCTTTGAATTATATCAAAACTGACACCAGAAACAGACTAACAGATGACCTGAGTGCTGCATGTGTTGCTCTCAAACTTACAAAGTATAAGTCAAGGTTAAACAAATTATCAGCATGCATACAACAGCAAAAATCACATTAATTGTTCAAAAGCATGCCAAATGCAAACTTTTACCTTTCAGTAAAAAGTTGTTTGTATCATTGAAAGCTTTGTTATGGTGTTTTTCTTTTAAGACAAAAAATGTTAAGGTATGAGTTGTTTTTTTCTAAACTAAAACCTCAGTATTCAGGTTAAATTGCTGTGTTGGCATTTTGTGATAAACAAGTGGGTTTTGGGTTGCAGTTTGGGCACTCGGTCTCTCAAAGGTTCGCCATCACTGCCATATAATAAAAGCATAGAATTCTCCCTCCTCTCTCTTGGTTAGGTCATGTTGCCCAATCAAGTAGAAAAATATTGTTATGAGAAAGTGTCTCTGGGTCTAGCCAGACACCTGGTGTAATGTCCTTGAATCTCATGGTCCAGCTTCTTAATCTTTGAAGAATGCATTCCAATCCCTTCCCCTCCCTCCGAAATCACTGACAAGCTGAGAAGCAGAATTTGTCGCACCAGCAAAACCGTGATACGAAACTTGACACAAGGATGGGACAATGGACTTAGTGACATGTGCTTAACCAAGTCCAGGAAACACCATCTTCCACAAGTCCACACTAGCTAAATAACTTCAGCAAGAAGACAACTGATTCTCTATCCTTTGCCAAAAGGCAAAAACACTTGAAGACACTCTCTCAGGGAGACATGGAGATGACCTAGGAAGACCTGACAAAGAGATAACACCTAGGGAAAGATCAGATAAGAGAGAGCAGAGCCCACAGCTGCCTAATGGGTGGAACAAGAGGGCCAAATGGGATCTGCTCTATGTTCTCAGGTTGTAAAAGTAACAACAAGGGAACTGTACTTTCAGAATTGCGAGACTGATGTCAGCCCTACCAGGTGTCAAGCCCCGCAGGGTTTGCCATTCACCAGTGTGTGTGGGGGTGAACTGGAGCAGCCAGCCAGGACCGGAGAAGCCAGCTGAACAGCCAGATGCCGCCCACGGTCCAGAGCCGAGCCAGCTGCTGAACGGGTCAGGTGGGAGGCAGGGATGACCCTCTCCCTCCCCCAGCGATCCCTGCAGCACATCACCTGCCTCTAGCCAGCCGCGGAGGTCCGCCGGCAGCCGGGAGGGAGGCCTGACATCAGCTACAGCAGCTGGGCATCAGGAAAGCCTCCAGCCGCTGCAGAAAGCCTCTGGAGGACATGGAGGGCTCCAGGAGGTGAGAGGAGGCTGCTGACGTCCTGGCGGTCATACGGGAGGCTGGAGGGGACAGCCGAGGGCGTGGACAGCTTGGAAAGCCTGGTGAGCTGGCGGAAGGTCTTGGCTGTACCTGCTGAATGGAGGGCTAGCAAGGTGTAGTCGGGCTGAGGGAAGGCCGGAAAAGGGAGTTTTACACACTCTGGGTGGATGCTGGCCTGCTGCTGGGGGTGGGGCTGTAGGGCAGGGCACGGCTATGTAAAGCACTGGGAGCAAACCACTCCCAGTGCTGACTTTTCGTTTGCTGGGAATAAACCTTGCTAACCACCTTGTACCCGCGTGCCTGGACTTTGTTTCATTGGACGACGACGGATGGAGGTGACACCAGGTAGATCAGACAGGAAACACAACCCAATAAGCTAATTCTACTTTGAGGGTGAAGGTTCCTTCTCTGAGCTTGTGGGTCGGAGAACACACCTTCACCCTCATCCTACAGCTGAGCTACAGATATTCGCCACTACTTCTACTTTATCATAAAGCTAACCTAACAGAATCTCCACAAGCCGATTAACCTTTGGAAAAGAGCTTCCCTTTAACTTCTCCCTCCACTCCCAAATCCACTTAGGAAGAACGTTCAAGATAACCTTCTTCTTTTGGAGAACGTGACCTTTTACTTCAATCCAGCCCCACAACGGCACCCCTAACGATGAATTTTCTTCATGACGCTTTGGTTTGTCCACTTGAGTTGGAGATGTTGAACCAGATCATTCCGGCCAATTTTGCCAAGGTAGCGAGAGAGAAGCTTGAGCTTGTTGGCAGACCTTGGAAGGCTCCGTCTCCAGAAGCACAGAAGCTCGTAGATCTGCTCGGTCAGATTCTCAGGACACTTGAGTTTAATAAACTGAAGAGTGCTTCGGTGGAGAGGCAGGTATTGCGCAAGAGAATTGGCATTCTCTTCTGACAGCTCTTCCGACAGCCAGTAGAGCAGGTTGTCCCACATGACTTCTGCTGGTCAAAATATTTATAAAGAGATGGAATTGCATGCAATTTAAAAAAAAAAAGCACTGAACACCAAGGGGCACGTGACATGGATTTTGTCATATTGTCATATGTCCATGGAGATTCTCAGTCATCCAGGTCATGGTTTGTCCCAAAGGTGTTTTTTCAAGACTTCCTTGTTTTTCTTTGAAGATGTTTCGCTTTTCATCCAAGAAGCTTCTTCAGCTCTGACTGGATGGTGGAGAGTGGAAAGATTTATATTCCTATATTCAGTTTGAGATTCAGATAACACAAGCTCATCCCCAACAGCCTACGCCTGTCTTCAACAGTGAAGGAACACAGGGCAGAAAACATCCTGCAGCCAAAAAGGCTTCACACCCATTTGCACCACTCAGATGACCCTGAAGACACAGATAAACCTCCAAGTGGCCTCAACGACTCTCTAAAAGAAGGCAAATGACCAGCGGTCTGCAAGGAGTATAACTCCTTCCATTCCCCACCATCCAGTCAGAGCTGAAGAAGCTTCTTGGATGAGGAGCGAAACGTCTTCAAAGCAAAAACAAGAAAGTCCAGTTGATCTTGAAAAGAAGCACCTTTGGATCATATTGTCATACTTGTTAGCTAGCATAGTCACTTTGTATTTTAATTTGATCTATTGCTCTCTCTTTTAAAATAGCCATAAGGGCTTATCAAACCATTGGACTGGAACACATGAAAGCTTTATAACTTATTGCTGTAAGGATTCACCCATCGCTTCTAACATTTCTAAACTGGGAAGATAATTTATAGGAAGGTATGTCTGGATTGATGTTTCCTGATAAGAGAATTGCTTGCTAGAGATAATTGGCTAATTTGGGTTTGTCTCATGAACTCCAAACAATCTTTTTCCTTGTTGACATCTCAACCTCCCTTCTGTCATCACGTTTCATTTTAATGTGAACATGTCTGGCATTATGGGATGCAAATATGCCACATGTTTGACCACGTGATTTCCTATGCCAAGGGGAAGTTACTTTTGCCCTGTCCGATCACCTTTTCTCTTCCGTTCTCTTCGAGGTCTTAGCTATAAATGGAACGTCAGCTAAGGAGCTGGTTCCCCTCTTTGAATGAGAGGAGTCCTTTTTATCAGAATATTCCGAATAAATTGTACTAAATGATCTTCCTGTCTGGGTAGGTCTGTCTCACTGGAAAATATGCATGCTGAGGCATGAGTCTTAGAGCCATATTTGACCTTCAACACATGTCAGGAAATGACTTGCATTTCAAAGAACCTGGAATACGATCAGACTTGAAGGAAGAAAAGGTTAATTCATGTTTATTTTTGGAAAGAGAAGTAAGTAAGGATAGAGATTCAAACCACTAACAAAGTTCCCTTGGACTAGAAGACCTCCAGGATCCCCCCCAGCTCTGTTCTGATTGATTGGTTGAATAATTGCATCAGAATATGCTCCACAATGTGGGCAAGGATTTAAGCATGAGTTGGAAGGAGCCTTTTAAGTGAACAAGTTCAACCTCTGCTTGTTGCAGGAGTCCATATGTTCAGCTTCTGCTTACCCTATCCTGGATGGACAACCCAACATCCTTGTGGATGATTGGTTCAATGATCATGCTATTATTACAATTAGAAAAAAAAATTCTCTACTTGAACTTAAGTGCCGGGGAAATCAGGAGATTCAAACAGTTCAAATTAGTATAAGGAATCTGCCCAACTAACGGTCAAGGGAAATGAGCGGGAGATAAGAAAGGCATTTAAGGTGGGCTGTACTTAGATCTCTTACGGGCATGCAGGGATTCGTGACTTATGACGCATTTGACCCCTCCCTCGGGCTCAACCTTGTCATCTCCTACAGTCAGTGGTGGGATTCAGCCAGTTCACATCGGTTCAGCAGAATCAGTAGGTAAATTTTGCTGCATTCAGAGAACTGGATGGCTTCCAGAAGTCCAGTCTAAGTGTTGGAGGCTTGCAGGTCCACCGGAAGTGCGTGGATGCCACTTCCAGAAGTCTGTTCTAGGCCTCGGAGGCCTGAAGGAGGCCTCCCAGGCCTAGAACGGCCCCCCGGAAGTGCATGGATGCCACTTCCGGAAGTCCATTCTAGGCCTTGGAGGCCCAGGCCTGTATCGAATAAGAGAACCGGTTGTTCAGGTATTTGAATTCCACCACTGCCTACAGTTATTCTTTGTCTTGCACTTTGGGATGTGGTTGCACTTGATGCTGGCAACCCTACAGCTTCTTGAAAAACATCCTTTAAATCAGTGGTTCTCAACCTGTGGGTCAGGGCCCCATTTGGGGTTGAACGACCATTTCACGGGGGTCGCCAAACAACGCAGTCTGCCATTTTTCCCCCCTTTTCCTTAGCTGTGCTACTCCCTTTTATTCTATTGGCTTTTGAAAGCCAATAGAATAGCCTCTCTTGAATAGAGTCTAATTCTATTGGCTTTCAAAAGCCAATAGGAATTGTCCAGGCTATCTCTGCCCTGATGAACCCGCCAAAAGTCCCATTCTGCAAACGGTGCTGCACCAGTTGAGTAGTCCTTGACTTACGACCAGTTGGGGGTCGCGGCATTAAAAAGGCTGAGAACCACTGCTTTAAATCATCTTTTCTCAAGTTTAAAAAGAACCAGTTCCTTTAGTCTCTTTCCCTTTCCCTACAGTCCTGAATCGAATCACTGCCATAATTCCATGTGGCTATGGACTTAAGAAGAAACCAACAAACAAAAATCACATAATTGCAACTGAAATCTGGGAAAAAAAAGAGCTGATTACATCATAGGCAGTGGTGGGATTCAGCCAGTTCGCACCACTTCAGCAGAACCGGTAGCTAATTTTTTTGTTGCCCAGGACCAGAATGGACTTCCAGAAGCGGCATCCACACAGAGAACCAGTTGTTCACATATTTGAATCCCACCACCGATCATAGGTAACTCTGCCCTGAAACTGGTCAAGGTCAGTCCGCAAAGTCCATCTGGAGACATACTCTGAGCAGCAGATCCCAGGGCTGCTAACATCAAGGCTGATGTCTTAATAGATTTACTTATTTATTTTTCATACTTAAGAACCACCCAACTCCCTTTGGGATTCAGGGCTGCCTAAAATAAAAGATAAAAAGCATAATATCTCAATAGTTGCTTTTGCTTCTTCTCCCTCTCCTGATCTTTGTAACATTTTATCTAATATAAAGTTCTGGAGAACTTGGAAGCGTGCGTACCTTTTGTGTTTATTAACACTGCCCAATCAATCCTAATTTTCCTGATGGGTCCACTGGCTAGGCTTGCTGTTGAGTTCCGTGAAAGTGTAAGATTTATTTGCTTAACAATTTTATGTGACCATCCAATTCACTCAGGGAGACTCTGGAAGGCTAACAGCATTAAAAATCCACCATATAACAACCCCCCCCCCCAAAATGACGAGTCATCAGTGCCCTCTGAGCTTGGTGGTTTTCTTGCAAACATTTCACTACCCAAACTAGCTAACATCCATGGTGCACTGATGATGTTATCTAGTTTGGGGTCATGAAACGTCTGCAAGAAAACCACTAAGCTCAGAGAGCACCAAGGAGCCCACAGTTCTTCTTCTTCTTCTCCTCCTCCTCCTCCTCCTCCTCCTCCTCCTCCTCCTCCTCCTGCTCCTCCCCTCCCCACAAATCCATCTCCCTACTAGCACTGATGATGTTGTCTAGTTTGGGTAATGAAACATCTGCAAGAAAACCACCAAGCTCAGAGAGCACCAAGGACTCAGCAGTCCTTTCCTCCTTCTCCCTCTCCTTCTCCTTCTCCTTCTCCTTCTCCTCCTCCCCCCCTCTCCACAAACCCATCTCCCTACTAGCACCGATGATGTTGTCTAGTTTGGGTAATGAAACGTCTGCAAGAAAACCACCAAGCTCAGAGAGCACCAAGGACTCAGCAGTCCTTTCCTACTCCTCCTTCTCCTTCTCCTTTTCCTTCTCCTCCACCTCCTCCTCCTCCTCCCTCTCCACAAACCCATCTCCCTACTAGCACCGATGATGTTGTCTAGTTTGGGTAATGAAACGTCTGCAAGAAAACCACCAAGCTCAGAGAGCACCAAGGACTCAGCAGTCCTTTCCTACTCCTCCTTCTCCTTCTCCTTCTCCTTCTCCTTCTCCTCCACCTCCTCCTCCTCCTCCTCCTCCCTCTCCACAAACCCATCTCCCTACTAGCACCGATGATGTTGTCTAGTTTGGGTAATGAAACGTCTGCAAGAAAACCACCAAGCCCAGAGGGCACCAAAGACCCCTCATTTCAACCCAGAGCTACAAATATTCTCCTTTATTGGAACTCCCCAAACCTCACGTTGTGAGGCTCTTAAATGTATAGGGTTGAGCCGGATGCCGTTTGGGTGCTATCAAACCTTACCTGATATATCTGTTGAAATTCTCTTTGTGCTTTGAGGGCGGCTGATCAGTTTTTCCTTCTGTCCAGGTGGAAGATACGAACAGAAAAAGAAATATTACCGGGGTTAGGTTATTAAACAAAGCACAAAGAGCTGTGGGAGGAATCCAGAGAAAGAAATATTTGGGGAAATATTAAAAAGGCAGAATATCATATTTCCCCAAAGGATCTTAAAGCAGTGGTTCTCAACCTTTTTAATGCTGCAACCCCCCAACCGGTCGTAAGTTGAGGACTACTCAACTAGTCATAAGTCGAGGACTACTCAACTGGTGCAGCACCGTTTGCAGAATGGGACTTTTGGCGGGCTCAGCAGGGCAGAGACAGCCTGGACAATTCCTATTGGCTTTTGAAAGCCAATAGAATTCGACTCTATTCAAGAGAGTCTATTCTATTGGCTTTCAAAAGCCAATAGAATAAAAGGGAGTAGCACAGCTAAGGAAAAGGGGGGAAAATGGCGGACTGCGTTGTTTGGCGACCCCCGTGAAATGGTCGTTCGACCCCAAATGGGCTCCCGACCCACAGATTGAGAACCGCTGTCTTAAAGGCAGAAACCATCCCCCCCTCAAGTTCTCTCTGCCCCAGACAGAAACCAGGTCTGCAGAAATGTAGATGTGATAAATCTTGTCAGAAAGATTGTCAGTGGGGGTTGGACTAGAAGACCTCCAAGATCCCTTCCAACTTGTTATTCTGGTGGTGCAGTGGTTAGAATGCAGCACTTCAGGCTACCTCTGCTGACTGCTGGCTGTCGGCCGTTCGATTCTCAATGGCTCCAGGTTGACTCAGCCTTCCATCCTTCCGAGGTCGGTGAAAAGAGGACCCAGATTGTTGGGGAGCAAAATGCTGACATTGTAAACTGCTTAGAGAGGGCTGTAAAGTACTATGAAGTGGTATATAAGTCTAAGCGCTATTGCTATTGCTATTCTCCTACCAGGATTACTAGCAAAGCTGGCAGGGGACACCTAAGAGTTAGACTCTTCTTTAATCTACTACAGTTCTTTGCAACCTGTTGGAACTCTTCCAGGTTCTAGTCCAATCCAATAACTTGATGGAAGAGAGACCCTGATATCATGGAGAAGCTGAGTACAAATTTGTGTTTGGATGGGGAGCCTGGTAAGAAATAATAATATAACAGACAAGGCAATGAAAAATCCATTTTTTTTCTGAGTCCTTTCATGGGGAACAAAGGGACCTTTTGGGATGCAACTAGCAAATATTGCTACAGACTATAACATCCTCATGTTATGAAACAGCTCACCTTTGGCAAAGTTAATGCTAGTTTGCACAGGAAGGAATCTTCTTCATGGTCTTCTAGCAAAAGAGGGTCTACGTTGTTAAGGATAGTGTCTTTCGCCACTTTGTAAAATAAGGCAGTTCCTTTATAATGGGGTGAGCTGTAGTTTCCAAATTCATCTATTTCCTTAATCCAAAGGGCGAGTCTTGGCTTTCTCTGAGCATGAAAAGCAAGCCTGTAATTTTTTCCGTAGGTATTCCCATCATCTGCACGGGTGCAACACAAATAATTAAGCTACGACTCTTTTTTTTTTTTAAAGAAAAGGAACAAACAAAAATATCAAATGCTTTTAACTGATCGGCTGATTTAATTTTGCACAAACCTTCCTTCCTGCTTTGAATCTCCAAAACAGAGGGTTGATTTAGACTGGATTGTGAGAGCGAAGCAGTCGCTTCCAACTCAGTGTAACAACTGAATTTTTTTTTTAAAGAATTCATAGAAAAGATCTGCTCCTACATCCTCCAGATCGAATTGACCATCCAAACAGGATCAGCTCAATTCAGACACCTTAATTTGGAAAGATACTGTACCGTATTTTCCGGTGTATAAGGTGACCCGGCGTATAAGATGACCCCCGACTTCGGCGCCAAGTTGCATACCTAGAAAGTCATCTTATACGCTGGAAACTACCGCTATTTCCGGCGTATAAGACGACTCGTCGTATAAGACGACCCCCAACTTCGGTGCCGATTTCAACGCTTTAGAAAGTCGTCTTATATGCTGGAAAGTACAGTAATTTAAATGCACGATTTGGAAACGAGCTTTGTTATGGATCCAAACTGAGTTTGATTCAATGGGAGCCTCCCTATTGTTTTTCATAAAACAGGTTTATTTGCCTCCGTGTGTAACGTCAGTGCCTTTTCCTTGAGTAAGCAATGAGATGTGAATTATGATATATGACGCTCCCTGGAGTATGGCTGAATTTCATTACCTCTGCAATTAAAACATTACACTGTCACATTTAACTGAGAACAAACTCTTGTTCTTAAGTCCCAAAGGTGCTTTTTCGAGAAGCAAATGCAGTTTCTGGTTTTTCTCTGAAGATGTTTCGCTTCTCATCCAAGAAGTTTCTTCAGCTGTAACTGGGTGGTGGGGAATGGAAGGATTTATACTCCTTGCAGACAGCGGGTCATTTGTATCCTTTTAGAGAATCGTTGAGGTCACTTGGAGGTTTGTCCGTGTCCTCACCTCCAAGTGGCCGCAATGACTCTCTAAAACAGTGGTTCTCAACCTGTGGGTTGGGACCCCATTTGGGGTCGAACGACCATTTCATGGGGGTCGCCAAACAACGCAGTCCGCCATTTCCCCCCCTTTTCCTTAGCTGTGCTCCTCCCTTTTATTCTGTTGGCTTTTGAAAGCCAATAGAATAGACTCTCTTGAATAGAGTCTAATTCTATTGGCTTTCAAAAGCCAATAGGAATTGTCCAGGCTGTCTCTGCCCTGCTGAGCCCGCCAAAAGTCCCATTCTGAAAATGGTGCCGCACCAGTTGAGTAGTCCTCGACTTACGACCGGTTGAGTAGTCCTCAACTTACGACTGGTTGGGGGTCATGGCATTAAAAAGGTTGAGAACCACTGCTCTAAAAGAATGCAAATGACCAGCTGTCTGCAAGGAGTATAAATCCTTCCTCACCACCCAGTCAGAGCTGAAGAAGCTTCTTAGATGAGAAGTGAAACATCTTCAAAGAAAAAACAAGAAAGTCCAATTGCGAAAAAAACACCTTTGGGACAACCATGACCTGGATGACTGAGAATTTCCATAGACATCTTGTTCTTAAAGTCATCTCCAAACCACAATGTTCAGACTGGGCTATTGGGAAAAAAAAATCCTGCTCTGAGCAGTTCAACTCATGCAGGTAATCGTGGAGAGATCTAATCTAGAACTAAGGAGAAAGTTCCTGACAGCTGAAACAATTAACCAGTGGAACAACCTGCCTCCAGAAGTTGTGAATGCTCCAAAAACTGGAAGTTTTTAAGAAGAGGCTGGACAGCCATTTGTCTGGAGTGGTATAGGGTTTCCTGCCTAAGCAGGGGGTTGGACTAGAAGACCTCCAAGGTCCCTTCCAACTCTGTTATTCTATTCTATTCAATTAAAATGATTGGCTAAAACATACAATGAACCGATGTGGGAACTAGGTATGTCTAGTCCAACAAAGAAAAGGACAATGGGTGACAGGACAGAAGTCTTACAATATCTGAGGGATGACAGAGAAGAGGAGGTTGACCTATTCTCCAAAGCACCGATGGTAGGACAAGAAGTAACAGACGGAGAGAACCAACCTAGAACCAAGGAGAAATTTCCAGACAGAACAATTAATCAGTGGAATGGAAGTTGCCTCCAGAAATCGTGGGCGCTCCATCACTGGAAGTTTTTAAGAAGAGACTGGACAGTCACTTGTCTGAGATGGTATAGGGTCTCCTGCTCATGCACTTTCAAGATCTCTTCCTACTCTGTTATTCTATTCTGTTCTAGTTGATATTAAACATAATAATGGGATAGATTGTCTCCTGAGGCAACCATTTGCTACTTCCTGTGCTTATTACTGACCAGCCCTCAAAATGGAGCATTATTTTATCCCTGTGTTCTGAGGGGCAGTGCATACATACACCTACCATCTAGGTCAGGGGTTCTCAATCTTGGCAACTTTAAGACTTGTGGACTTCAACTCCCAGAATTCCTCAGCCAGCTTGAGTTGAAGTCCACAAGTCTTAAAGTTGCCAAGGTTGAGAATCCCTGATCTAGGTAATCAGCACAGGCAATCTGCTGATCAACTTGAAGGTGTAAATAACTCCTTTCAAATGATATTCGGCAGGCAAAGACTTTCAAGCTGGCATCAAAGCTACCTCCTTTTTTTGGGAATCTAGATCTTGGGCTAAGAGCGGTGTCTTGTCAAGCCAATGGACCCCACCACCCCCACCCCCCTCAAAAAAAGCAGGAGAAAGATTATTATTCCAATATCATCTTTCGACATGTGGCGCAAACAGATAAGCCGAAAATAATGCAGCCAGGCTGTGAGGAAGAGAGTGGCTAGGCCTTTCTCCAAAGAGATGTCATTTTCTGATGAATGCAGCTTATCTAGCACCAGCCTTGTTCACCCATCAGATAGATGGCAGAGCTGACGTTTTTGTTATAGGCTGATTACATTTTGTGTTGGCAATGCCTGGACCGTGTTTTGAGGGTGGGTTGCGTGAATTTGATTTGTCTTTGATTCTTTCTCATTGTCAGTGGCCTTCATTGTCATCTCCCTCCCTTTCAGGTTGAAAAAAAAAGGGGGGTTATAAATCCAATTAGAAGAAATCAAAATATAGAACAAAGGCTGGGTGGGGTAAGGGATTGTCTCGTTGGCCTGTTCTTCAAAGTTCTTGAGTTCACTGATAGTGGACTTCTTCCATATTTCAAAACTGTGGAACTTTGGGGTCTGGCCCTAGAGATTTAAATCAGAACCAGCAGGATGTGTGTATTTAAGTTTATTCTGTTTATTGTGTTCATTCTGAAGCCTCAGTGGTGAAGTGGTAAGAAACAAGAAAGTGGAAGACTGAATTGAATGATTTACTCATTTTTCAGACAAATGCCTCAGATATATATTTAGGCAGCACAGAAACATCTAACCTGCATCTTTTTGGGGGTAGATGGGGGGAGATACTGTGACGATTCATTCCTGCCAGTGCAAACTGCATGTCTGAATGGGACTTTGGGCTAGAACTGATTAAGATCCTAAAAATATCAGGAGCCGTCAATCATAAAACCCATAAATTCATTGAATTCACAAAACAACGGGGCACTGATTATAAGAAAGACTGAAGAAGCAGCTAGTACACAGAATACCACCGTCAAGAAGCAAAACGAAGTCACATTCGTCATCTTCAGGCTGGTGTTTTCAGCTTCTTGCTTCTAGGAGCAATGTGTGATCGTAGCTGTTTCTTCCTTTTAACTGCCAGTGGAAGTATGAACTGATTGGATGAGAGCTTGGCTGTGTTCTGATTGGATGTAGGTGTGTCCTGATTGGTTAGGAGCAATCAGAGCACAGCCAACCCCCCATCCAATCAGAGCACAGCCAACCCCCCCATCCAGTCAGAGCACAGCCAAGCTCCTAACCAATCAGAACACACCTCCATCCAATCAGAACACAGCCAAACTCTCATCCAATCAGTTCATACCCCCACTGGCAGTTAAAAGGAAGAAACAGCTACGATCACACATTGCTCCTAGAAGCACGAAGCCGAAAACACCAGCCTGAAGATGACGAATGGGACTTCGTCGAAACGTCACCAAGACACTTCCAATTTGACGCGGGAGAAAACCCGAATAACCAAAGACCTACATACATACATACATACATACATATATCTCTTTGAAAGTCTCATTTGTAAAGTCCAAACAGCATGACCGATAGCTTCCAACGTTGTTGGAATTAAAATTGATTTACCTGAAGCAAAAATATTTCCACTGAATCTAAAGTACACCTGCTCTCCTTCTCTCATTTTAAATGGCTTTGAGGGTTCTGGAGGGCCACAATATCCCTCCTCACATAGACACTGCAGCTCCATGTTTAATTCCTTCGATGGAACCAGTAAGACCATGATCTTGTAAGGGTCTTCTTCATTCTGATGTAGGACCACCCTCACCAGGATGTTGTGGATGGCGTTTTCCAGATTCTGAATAAACTGAACAAGTTGTATGTTGTCCATAGTGGAGGATAAGCGAACGATAATAAACCTGCATAAAGATGAAGACTAGATGTGATAAGGCAAAAGAGTATAGAAGCAGGATTCACATCTTAATAGAGAAGATTCTCAAAGCAAATAGAAAGATAAAAACACAGAAACTTTGACTTTTGGGTTGAATGGACAAAGACTTGGGGGGGGGGGAGAAAACATTTGGAACCTTGATGTTATGTTTTTGTGCATAAAGTAATCTTGACGGCAGCAAGATTACTTTGTGCACAAAAATGGAAGGACCGCTGTGATTCCCACAATGGACGAAGGGCTGCAGAAGTCGATGGGAGTTAGCAGAAATGGCTAAATTGACTGCTTTTATTAAAGGGGGAAAAAAAACGACAATTGCTTTTGTTTCTACTTGGAAACTGCTTCTGGACTTTGTGATTGAGGTGGGAAAAAAATGAAACTTTGATTTTGGATTTTACCGATTAGATGGGTTTGTTGTTATATAAATGGCTGGTTTATATTACTATGTAAAAGTAAAAAGTTGAAGTTTGATGCTGTTATCTTAATCTACTGCACCTAAGATAAGATAAGATAAGATAAGATAAGATGAGGTGAGGTGAGGTGAGGCGAGGGAAAGCAAGGTAAGGTAAGGTAAGGTGCAGTAAGATAAGGTAAGGTAAGATAAGATAAGATAAGATGAGATGAGATGAGGCGAGGCGAGGCAAGGCATGGCAAGATAAGGTAAGGTAAGGTAAGGTATGCTAAGATAAGGTAAGATATGGTAAGAAGAGAAGATGAGATGAGATGAGATGAGATGAGATGAAATGAGGCGAGGCGAGATAAGGTAAGGTAAGATGCGCTAAGATAAGGTAATATACAGTAAAATAAGATAAGATAAGATAAGATAAGATAAGATGAGATGAGATGAAGTGAAGCGAAGCGAGACGAAATAAGGTAAGGTAAGATGCGCTAAGATAAGGTAATATACGGTAAAATAAGATAAGATAAGATGAGATGAGATGAGATGAGGTGAGGCGAGGCGAAGCAAGGCGAGATAAGATAAGGTAAGATGCGCTAAGATAAGGTAATATACAGTAAGATAAGATAAGATAAGATAAGATAAGATAAGATAAGATAAGATAAGATAAGATAAGATGAGATGAGATGAGATGAGGCGAGGCGAGATAAGGTAAGGTAAGATGCGCTAAGATAAGGTAATATACAGTAAGATAAGATAAGATAAGATAAGATGAGATGAGATGAGATGAGGCGAAGCGAGGCGAAGCGAGGCGAGATAAGGTAAGGTAAGATGCACTAAGATAAAGTAATATACGGTAAGATAAGATAAGATGAGATGACATGAGGCAAGGCGAGATAAGGTAAGGTGCGCTAAGATAAGGTAAGATATGGTAAGATAAGATAAGATGAGATGAGATGAGATGAGGCGAGGCGAAGCGAGGTGAGATAAGGTAAGGTAAGGTAAGATGCGCTGATAAGGTAATATACGGTAAGATAAGATAAAATGAGATGAGATGAGGCGAGATAAGGTAAGGTAAGGTAAGGTGCGCTAAGATAAGGTAAGATACAGTAAGATGAGATGAGATGAGATGAGATAAGATAACCTTTATTGTCATTTTTTTTACTGTGGGCACAACAGCACACATCAAAAATGAAATTTAGTTGCCCGCTCTCAAAGTAAAACACATACATGACAAACTCAAAGGGAGTTTGAAGTCAACGCCTTTTATTCCCCCCCCCATTCCCTACACTTTTCCCTTCCCTTCTCCTTCCCTTATTTTCCTGCTATTTTCTTTCATATTTTTTTATTTTATATTATAAAATAATAAAAAAGATGAAGACTAGGTACACCTCAGATACTTGTATCCTAAGTAAACCATAGAAAACATTGTAAATGGTAAGATAATGGTGTAGAATCCAACACACTGGCAAAGCTATGATAGTTAAATTATAAAAATGTTGGCTTTTGCCTTCTTCAATAAAGAAGCGGGATTTTTCAGGCATGGGTTGCCAATATCTGAAGACTTTAAAAAGAGACTGAATAGCCCCACCCAGGAGTGCTATAATTGGTGTTCTTGTATATTGTGATCATTTTGAACTCAATGCTTCTACCATCTTAAATCTGATTCTTTTGACCAAAGACGAAGAATATCGTTATAAAGCTGCTTAACCCTTGGAATAGAAGGGTCACATCTGCAGGGGTAAATCACTAAAAAGAGAAAATTTTAAAAAGAAAAAAAAAAGCAGAGATTTGGCTTTCATCGAGGACGTCCAGGACGTCAATTAAAGCTGCCTTCTTGAGAGTTGCTACACAATTTCTTGCTTTATTATCTTTTATAATTTTTTTTTAAAGCTGCCAGGTGGCTAACAGGAAGACTGCTCTAAAATGAGTTTAACTTGAGGTGTCTGTCCCTACTTGGGAACTGTTTATGAGTTTCATGTCTTCTAAATCAGGGGTCCCCAACCCATGGTCTTATCATGTCCACAAACCAACTTCCAAACTATTGGCCAAATTGTAGCTTTCGGTAGGATACCAAGGAAAAGCCGTAAGTGTAAATGGAGTTCGTATGTGGAGGGCAATTAACTGATTTAATTTGATGGGGTTTATAAGCAACCCAATGTCATGTCTGCCCTCCTCCATGTTGGTCTCTCAAAAGCTAAATGCAGTGTCAAAGGCTTTGCCAGTTTTCTAGTTCCATGTCATGCCCAAAATTCTTTGCCCATGTTATCATTCCAGGGTCCCCCAGCAAAGCAAAACTAGACGTGGAAGACAGAACTCGTCTCCCAGACATCCATAGTGGCCACGTCAGCAAAGTGGAAGTCATTATCATTGTTTCTTTAACTTGTTCCTCTTCCATCTTTAAACAGCATATGTGTATAAAGTTTCTTATGTGGGAAAGAAATTCTAAAATAGCAAAAGCGGTAGCGTACAAAGAAAAATTATATAACTTTTAGATGGCCACCACAAAATTGTACATTGGCTCCCGGCCGGCCTGGGCCAGGGCCAAGGCAGTGGGGGCCGTTCCCTCACTGTTTCCAGGATGGCTTCGCGGGCCACATGAAACCACTTTGTGGGCCACATCCAGCCCCCGGGCCTTGTGTTTGACATGTCTGATCTACACGTTTGATCTCATCTCACCTCTCTAAGGGTTGATCTAAGTCAAAGGACACAAGGCCGTTCCTTGCATTCCGCACGGGGATGTCGTCCAGCAGAACCCAGCCTTCTTCGCGGTTTCTGTAGCCCAGCACTTTCAGCGGCTCCTTGAGCTTCTCCCTGTGTTTTCTTGAGGAGGCACTCAGAGCTCTGGAAAAATCACAAGAGTATGGCAAAGAATATACCTCTCTCTTTGGCGGCGCAGTGGTTAGAATGGAGTATTGCAGGCTAACTCACTGCTCGCTCCAGGAGTTCGATTCTGACCTGCTTCAAGGTTGACTCAGCCTTCCATCCTTCTGAGGTTGGTAAAATGAGGACCCAGATTGTTGGGGGGCAAAAGGCTGATACTTTGAAGCAGTATATAAATCTAAGTGCTATTCTATTCTGTTCTGTTCTGTTCCGTTCCGTTCCGTTCCATTCCATTCCATTCTATTATTATATTCTATATTCTACTCCACTCCACTCCACTCCACTCTATTCTATTCCTACTCTACTCTACATTCCATTATTCTATTCTATTCTATTCTATTCTATTCTATTCTATTCTATTCTATTCTATTCTATTCTATTCTATTCTATTCTATTCTATTCCATTCCATTCCATTCTATTATTATATTCCATATTCTACTCCACTCCACTCCATTCCATTCTATTCTATTCCTACTCTACTCTACATTCCATTATTCTATTCTATTCTATTCTATTCTATTCTATTCTATTCTATTCTATTCTATTCTATTCTATTCTATGCTATGCTATGCTATGCTATGCTATGCTATGCTATGCTATTCTATTCTATTCTATTCTTATAGTCCATGTTCTACTCCACTCCACTCCACTCCACTCCATTCCTACTCTACTCTACTCTACTCTACATTCCATAATTCTATTCTATTCTATTCTATTCTATTCTATTCTATTCTATTCTATTCTATTCTATTCTATTCTATTCTATTCCATTCCATTCCATTCCATTCCATTCTCATTCATTCTCTATTCTATTCTATTCTATTCTATTCTATTCTATTCTATTCTATTCTATTCTATTCTATTCTGCAATGGTTATGCAATGCTGTATTGCAGGCTAACTGCCTAATGCCAAGAGTTCGATCCTGACCTGCTCAAGTCTGACTCAGCCTTTCATTCTGCCCAGGTTGATAAAATGAGAACCCAGATTGTTGGGGTAAATCTGCTGACTCTCTAAACCGCTTAGAGAGTGCTGTAAAGTGCTGTGAAGCGATTATATAAGTCTAAATCCCATTGCTATCTATATTTCTCTGTTTCATCCTCTTTACTCATCTTCTTACTATCTCTGCTTTGTGGTCCCAAACCAACTTTTCTCTTGAAGTAGATCCTCACATCCTTACTAAACTAGTGTTTCTTTAACTGCAACAAATACAAATTTCTTCCAGGGCCCCAGTTTTCATTCTTTCAAAATATCCTAGCATGGCTGGCTCAGGAATTCTGGGAGCTGAAGTCCATGAGTCATAAAACAGCCAAGGTTGCCTACCCCTGGTCTAGGAGGCTCACCGCTTAGAACAGGAGGACTTAGGACAGGGGTAGGCAACCTTGGCTCTTTTACGACTCGTGGACTTCAACTCCCAGAATTCCTGAACCAGCATGGCTCAGCTTGGAAACCTCTCCCTTTCCCCTCAGCATGGCTGGCTCAGGAATTCTGGGAGTTGAAGTCCACGAGTCATAAAAGAGCCAAGGTTGCCTACCCCTGTCGTAGCCAGAAAGACTAAAGAGAAAGTCAGCTGGGGATTATAGGACGTGAAAGCTCTTTTAGTATATTTTAATTAAATTTTCATTATAGATAAAACCAGATACACTGTGGGGGTTGAAAGGTTGCTACTGTTTTTCATTAAAATTATACAAAGGCAAAAAAAAACCCCAAAAACCCTCTGCCTCAGAAAGATTGCCGAGACGTTCTGATTGATTTTTAATGAACTTCAGTTGTTAATGATCACGTCGGCAAGGCTTGACAGACGGTAGGTTGATATACAGATGTTTAAATCAGTTTTCTTCAACTTTTTCCTCTCCACATGCATTAAACTATATCTCCCATGTTCATTAGCCAGAATAACTATAGTTATCCTGGTTGGAGGTATCGAGAGTTGTGATCCATACAACTGAAGGACATCAGATTATCAGTAGAAGATAATTTTTGTAGCTCAGGTTTGAACTGTGGGGTCCTTGTTTTTTGAGCTGGGTTGTTTTCTTACAGACATCTCGTTACCCAAAGAAGTAACATCATAGTAAGTCCAAAAATGCTAGGGGATTCCTGGAAGCTTGACACTCAGCCAAATCAGCCATCAACAGATATATAGAGATAAACCACATCTACATATCATTCAAAAAAGACGATCAAAAAGCTAAAAGACCACAACTCCTCCTAAGAATCAATCAACATCCAGATAACACCAAGCAGTAAACAATACCCTAGTCAGGGAACTACCAACACAAACTAACAACCAAACATTAAATATCAGCCTAATCAAAGAACTAGCAAGAATATTCCCACCAATACTGACAGGGCAAGCCACTTGTATATAAACACTATTCCCTTTTAGCACTGGTTATGTTACCTAGTTGGTAGGGAAATGTCTGCAAGAATATAACCAAGATCAGACCCACACTACTCCTCCTCCTCCTCCTCCCTGCAAACCCTCCTCCCTTCTAGTGCTGGTGATGTTACCTAGTTGGGTAATGAACCATCTGCAAGAAAATAACCAAGATCAGAGTGCACCAAGGACCCTACAGGACATCAGATTGTGGAAAGCTTGCATAAATATGCAGTTTTTAAAAAAACACTGTACTTCTGCTTTCCAAGAGACAATCCATAAACAACACATTCATTTCCTTAACTTCTACAATGTTTTGTTTCCCTGGTTTAGAACAATGTTTTCTTAACAGAGCTTCAGTGCATGTTCTAGACTCTCAACATCTTGAGATGTTAGGAAGAAGAAGAAGAAGAAGAAGAAGAAGAAGAAGAAGAAGAAGAAGAAGAAGAAGAAGAAGAAGAAGAAGAGGAAGAGGAAGAAGAAGAAGAAGAAGAAGAAGAAGAAGAAGAGGAGGAGGAGGAGGAGGAAGAAGAAGAAGAAGAAGAGGAGGAAGAAGAAGAAGAAGAGAAGAGAAGAAGAAGAAGAAGAGGAGGAGGAAGAAGAAGAAAAAGAAGAGAAGAAGAAGAAGAAGAAGAGGAGGAGGAGGAAGAAGAAGAAGAAGAAGAAGAAGAAGAAGAAGAAGAAGAGGAGGAGAAGGAGGAGGAGAGGAGGAGGAAGGAGGAAGGAGAAGGAGAAGAAGAAGAAGAAGAGGAGGAGAAGGAGGAGGAGGAGGAAGGAGAAGGAGGAGGAGGAGGAGAAGAGAAGAAGAAGAAGAAGAAGAAGAAGAAGGAGGAGGAGGAGGAGGAGGAGGAGGAGGAGGAGGAAGAAGAAGAAAAAGAAGAGGAGGAGGAGGAGGAGAGGAGGAAGAAGAAGAAAAAGAAGAGGAAGAAGAAGAAGAAGAAGAAGAAGAAGAAGAAGAAGAAGAAGAAGAAGAAGAAGAAGAAGAAGAAGAAGAAGAGAGAAAAAGAAGAGAAGAAGAAGAAGAAGAAGAGGAGGAGGAGGAGGAGGAGAAGAAGAAGAAGAAGAAGAAGAAGAAGAAGAAGAAGAAGAAGAAGAAGAAGAAGAAGAAGAAGAAGAAAAAGAAGAAGAAGAAGAAGAAGAGGAGGAGAAGGAGGAGGAGAGGAGGAGGAAGGAGGAAGGAGAAGGAGAAGAAGAAGAAGAAGAGGAGGAGGAGGAGGAGAAGGAGGAGGAAGGAGGAAGGAGGAAGGAGGAGGAGGAGGAGAGAAGAAGAAGAAGAAGAAGGAGGAGGAGGAGGAGGAGGAGGAGGAGGGGAGGAGGAGGAGGAAGGAGAAGGAGGAGGAGGAGGAGGAGGAGGAGAAGAAGAAGAAGAAGAAGAAGAAGAAGAAGAAGAAGAAGAAGAAGAAGAAGAAGAAGAAGAAGAAGAAAGAAGAAGACAATTGCAAATAAGTTATGGATTCTGGGTCTACCTGAGACATTTGCTGAACAATGGTAGATTATTTTCAAGGATGAGTTCCTTCTTATTTCTCACCGGAAATGATGAATGCTGGTAACTCCGGGCACAGAAGCACTTATTGCTCTTTCGGCATCTGTCTCAATACCTTCTCTTCTTTTTTCTGGATTTGGAGGACAAGGAAGAACCACAGTGATAGCTCTGTTGAATGGTACCAATGAAGAATATTCCATGTGGATCAGAGAGCTGGTTGACATGACTGGATAATATTCATCATGTTTCATTTTCAACATGGAAAGTGTAGATTGATCAATTGGTTGCACCTGCATATAAATAATACCATTACAGGCACGATTATCATGATCATCTCTCATTCAAGGTGGGTTTGAATATTTGTTCATATATGCTGAGGGACCACACATCACGTATCTTACATCGATACGCTAAAGTAATAAAATTAAGTGCATTAACAGAGGGATAGAATCAAGATCACGTGAAGAGACTGGACAGCCATTTGTCCGAAATGGTGTAGGGTTTCCTGCCCGAGCAGGGGGTTGGACTAGATGACCTCCAAGGTCCCTTCCAACTTTACTACTATTACTATTACTAAGTATTAATACCACTTTACAAGGCCTGGGTAAGGCCACACTTGGAATACTCCATCCAGTTTTGGTCACCACGATGTAAAAAAGATGCTGAGACTCTAGAAAGAGTACAGAGAAGAGCAACAAAGATGATTAGGGGACTGGAGGCTAAAACATATAAGGAACGGTTGCGAGAATTGGGTATGTCTAGTTTAACGAAGAGAAGGACAAGGGGGGACATGATATCAGTATTCCAATATCTCAGGGGCTGCCATAAAGAAGAGGGAATTAAGCTATTTTCCAAAGCACCTGAAGGCAGGACAAGAAGCAACGGGTGGAAACTAATCAAGGAGAGAAGCAACCTAGCACTAAGGAGAAACTTCCTGACAGTGAGAACAATTAATCAGTGGAACAGCTTGCCTCCAGAAGCAGTAAATGCTCCAACACTGGAAGTTTTTAAGAAGAGACTGGACAGCCATTTGTCCGAAATGGTGTAGGGTTTCCTGCCTGAGCAGGGGGTTGGACTAGATGACCTCCAAGGTCCCTTCTAACTTTATTATTATTATTAAATCTCTGTGCAGTGAGGCTTATATTCCTCTAAGGAACACAGCTATTCAATCATGCCACCAATTACAATGGGGATGGAGCAGAATTCTTGAACTCTCCACTAACCCCCACTGACTTATCTCCTAAAGGAAGAAAAAAGACTTTCTACTTAATTTCCAAGGTAGTTGGTTAACAGAAGCATAATTAAATCCTTGCCGCCAAGATGAATATCAAGGACAATGAAGAAGGACATGAAACATTTATTCAGTTTCTCTCGTTAGGTAAGGCACAGATGCTCCTGCAGGGATCTTCATTAAATCTCCCTTCTATAACTGATACTAGCAACAGATTCAGCCTGGATAAATTTGAAAAAACTGCTCATTGTCCATTATACAGGCGGGACATATACAGTACATAGCCAGGCAAAGTGATTATTGGCCAAGGACATGTCAAAGGGAGCAGGGCTGGCAGGAAAAAAAATCAATGCCAAGGAAATAGCAATAGCAATAGCACTTAAACTTATATATTGCTTCATAGAGCTTTATAGCTTTCTCTAAGCGGTTTAGAGCCGGGGTCTTTAAACCTGGCCCTTTTATGACTTGTGGACTTCAACTCCCAGAATTCCTCAGCCACAAGTCATAAAAGGGCCAAGTTTGAAGACCCCTGGTTCACAGAGTCAGCCTATTGCCCCCCAACAATCTGGGTCCTCATTTTACCAATCTCGGAAGGATGGACGGCTGAGTCAACCTTGAGCTGGTCAGGATCGAAGTTAGAAGTGCCATCTCTCGGTGGCTAATTCCAACAGTACTGTCTTAGGCCTAAAGATATTCTATATTTATTCTATTCTATTCTATTCTATTCTATTCTATTCTATTCTATTCTATTCTATTCTATTCTATTCTATTCTATTCTATTCTATTCTATTCTATTCTATATTTATTCTATCTTCTATTCTATATTTATTCTATCTTCTATTCTATTCTATTCTATTCTATTCTATTCTATTCTATTCTATTCTATTCTATTCTATTCTATATTTATTCTATATTTATTCTATTCTATTCTATTCTATTCTATTCTATTCTATTCTATTCTATTCTATTCTATTCTATTCTATTCTATTCTATTCTATTCTATTCTATTCTTCAGTCCTGTATTCTATTCTGTTCTGTTCTGTTCTCTGTGGCAGAATATGGTCTTTCTGAAATAACAGAATAATAGAGCTGGAAGGGACCTTGGAGGCCTTCTAGTCCAACCCCCTGCTCAAGCAGGAGACCCTAGTCTGTCTGTCTAGTGTCTTCTTGAAAACGTTCAGTGTTGGAGCACCCACAGCTTCCATTCCACTCACTAATTATTATCTTGACTTTAACAAAAATGTATCTTGCTCTGTGGGCCTAAAGGAACATGAATAACATGCAGGAGTACCTGTTCCTTTTCAACAGGGGAGACAAGATATCTTTTTAAAATAAATAAATAAATAAAATAATTTAATCTCATAAAGGAGAAGAAAGAGAATTCATACAGGAACTAAACCGAATAACAGACATTCCAAAATGAGTATGTTGCTAGTCTCTTTCATAAGCTATTGCTGCCACCCAGGGACGAACTGAACAACAGTCTCTGTTTTTTCATGTAAAAAAAACTCCTTTGAGCATTTGCAATACTATAAACAAAGATGAGAAGCAATCTATTAAAAATCACTTTTAAAATTCTTTTTTGAACGGTGGCTGGAATCCCTAAATGGGCAGAATGAGTCCCTCGTCCTGCAGATCTTGCGTAACGTCCCATCCCATGTGGCGAGCTTGTTTTGAAAAATGGTTATGAGTCTTGATTGTGCCTTTTCTATCTCTTTATCTGCAACCTTCCCAAAATTGTTAAGGAGTCAGGTGGCCTCAAAATTGGACAGATGGATAAATGAAATGGGCAAGATAGATGAGTGATAGATAACAGATAAAGGAAGGAAGGAAGGAAGGTTGATTTTGAGAAAGGAAGGGAGAGAGAGAAGGGAAGGAAGGAAGGAAGGAAGGAAGGAAGGAAGGAAGGAAGGAAAAATAAGGAAGGGAGGGGGAAGGAGGGAGGAATGAAGGAATAGAAAGGAAGAAAGGAAGGAAGGAAAAGGAAGGAAGGAAGGAAGGAAGGAAGGAAAAGGAAGGAAGGGAGGGGGGAGGGAGGGAGGAATGAAGGAATAGGAAGGAAGGAAGGAAGCAAGGAAGGAAAAGGAAGGAATAGGAAGGAATAGGAAGGAAGGAAAGAAAGAATAGGAAGGAAGGAAGGAAGGAAAGAAGGAAGGAAGGAAAGTTGATTTTGAGAAAGGAAGGAAGAGACAGAGGGAAGGAAGGGAAGGAAGGAAGGACGGAAGGAAGGAAAAGGAATGAAGGGAGGGAGGAAGGAAAGAAAAAGGAAGGAATAGGAAGGAAGGAAGGAATAAGAAGGAAGGAAAGAAGGAAGGAAGGAAGGAAGGAAGGAAAATTGATTTTGAGAAAGGAAGGAAGAGAGAGAGGGAAGGATGGAAGGAAAAGGAAGGAAGGGAGGGAGGAAGGAAGGAAAGGAAGGAAGGAAAGAATAGGAAGGAAGGAAGAAAAGAATAGGAAGGAAGGAAGGAAGGAAGGAAGGAAGGAAGGAAGGAAGGAAGGAAGGAAAGTTGATTTTGAGAAAGGAAGGGAGAGAGGGAAGGAAGGGAAGGAAGGAAGGAAGGAAGGAAAGGGAAGAAAGGAAAAGGAAGGAAGGGAGGGGGAAGGGAGGAAGGGAGAGAAGAAGGAAGGAAAAGGAAGGAAGAAAAGAATAGGAAGGAAGGAAGGATTGTATAGAAATCTGCTCTTAAACGGCAATGTGATCAATGCAAAAGTACTGATGAGAATGATTGAACGGGTGACCTTAAAGTAGATCATTCAATTTACAAGAGGCCACATATTTTTTTTTCCCTTTCACAGAAGGAAGTCATCCTGGGTGTGAATTATTAGCTACCGTATTTCATTCTACATCTCTTCCAATTAAAATGTGTTTTATGTATTACGGTGGGTGAAAAACGTGCCCGTGCCCAAGAAATCAGCCCACCGTTTTTCAGCAATACCTTTAGGCCCACCGTCACCCGAGAACCGAACGTTGACGATGGATAGGAAAATGAAATTCTGGGGTCCATGTGAAGCTTTCGCAAAATCCCTTTCCTTGGAACGGTCCATGTTTCCTTCTTCAAGCAGGAAACCGCCGCAAAGAGACCAAGCTGGCTGGTTTTCACCACAGCGGCTGACCCCTGCATGAAGTCAAAGAGAAAAAAAACATGATTTAAATTTCCTTCTGCCCTACGGTTGAAGGAGGATATCGGTTTAACGAGTTCACTAACCTTCTGGCTGCCTTGGTGTCCTTCCAAAGAGGTAGGAGTCAAATAAATGGACTGGAAGTTGACGTCAGTCACTTTCACCATGATGTCTTTGTACATTCCTCTGTAACGGGAAGCAAACGGGATCGCGATGCTGATTGGAGAAGCCGTTAGTTGATCCACCGATGAACACTCGGCAGAGATGACGTTGCTGACCAGTTCCTCGGCATCGTTCACCACAAAGGGACTTAAATCATTGACCACTGTGACTGTGAGACGTTCGAGAACACCCCAAGGGGCTGTAACACTACAGGACAGTTCAGCTTCTCCCAGTTCGTTCGCTTTCGTGAAAAATCTATAGCCAAGAAATAGCATTCGTGAGAGAAAAAAAGAGAGAGCAATGGATAAAATACAGAATCGCAACTGGAAGGGACCTTGAGGCCTTCTAGTCTGACCCCCTGCTTGAAGTGGAGACTCTATACCATTCTGGACAAATGGCTACCTAAATCTCTTCTTGGAAACCTCCAGTGATGGTGCATCCAAGGCTTCTTAAGGCAAACCATTCCATTGGTGAATAGTTTTCACCGTTAGGAAATCTCCTTATTTCTAGGTTGAATCTCTCCTTGGTAAGCTTCCATCCATCGCTTCTTGTCCGGGCCTCAGCTGCTTTGGAGACTAGGTCAACTCCTTCTTCTTAAGACAGACCCTCAGTTACTGGAAGACTGACCCAAAGGTGCTTTTTTCGCAGGAGGCAACTGGACTTTCTCGTTTTTCTTTGAAGACGTTTTGCTTCTCATCCTAGAAGCTTCTTCAGCTCTGACTGGGATGGTGGGGAGTGGAAGGATTTATACTCCTTGCAGACAGCTGGTCATTTGCCTTCTTTTAGAGCAGGGGTTCTCAACCTTCCTAATGCCGTGACCCTTTAATACAGTTGCTCATGTTGTGGTGACCCCCAACCATAAAATTATTTTTGTTGCTACTTCGTAACTGTAATTTTGCTACTGTTATGAATCGTAATGTAAATATCTGATATGCAGGATGTATTTTCATTGTTACAAATTGAACATTCTATTCTATTCTATTCTATTCTATTCTATTCTATTCTATTCTATTCTATTCTATTCTATTCTATATTCTATTCTATTCCTCTTTTCCATAGTGTCTATTCTATTCTATTCTATTCTATTCTATTCTATTCTATTCTATTCTATTCTATTCTATTCTATTCTATTCTATTCTATTCTATTCTATTCGATTCTATATTCTATTCTATTACTCTATTCCATATTGTCTATTTTATTCTCTTCTATATTGTCTATTCTATTCTATTCTATTCTATTCTATTCTATTCTATTCTATTCTATTCTGTTCTGTTCTATTCTATTCTATTCTATTCCACATTCCACATTCCACATTCTATTCCATTCCATTCCATTCCATTCCATTCCATTCCATTCCATTCTATTCTATTCTATTCTATTCTATTCTATTCTATTCTATTCTATTCTATTCTATTCTATTCTATTACTCTCTTCCATAGTGTCTATTCTATTCTATTCTATTCTATTCTATTCTATTCTATTCTATTCTATTCTATTCTATTCTACTCTACTCTACTCTATACTCTGCTCTGCTCTGCTCTGCTCTGCTCTGGTCTATATTCTATTGTATTCTTCTATTAGAGAGTCGTTGAGGCTCTCACCTCGAGCTTTCTTGGCTGCAGGATGTTTTCTGCCCTGTCTCCCTTCACTACAGGCGCAGGCTGTTGGGGATGCGTCTGTGTTGTCTGCATCTCAGGCTGAAGCACAAATGGTTCCTGCAGTCGGTTTGAGATTCAGACAACAGAGACTCATCCCCAATGGCCTGCACATGTCTTCAAAATGAAGGGACCCAGGACAGAAAACATCCTGTAGCCAAGAGGGCTCCACACCCAAAGCGAACCTCCAAAGCATTCCTTGTCTGAGTAAGATGCTAAGACAGTCAGGCTTGGCTCACGTTTGGATGAGATGGACAGCCCAAAATCTCAGTGCTGTATAACAGAGGTCCCCAACCTTTTGAACACCAGGGACAGGTTCCATGGAGTTTTTTCCACAGACCGGAGGGGGTGTGGTTTTATGTGCTGCCTGCATTCCATGGATGGAGCTTTGCTTGTTTGTGCAGACCGGTTGTTGGCATGGCACGGCCCAGTACTGGTCCATGGACCGGCGGTTGGGGACCCCTGCTGTAGAATGTAGTGGCAATGTGGAAGACCATTGTGAGGAATTAATGAGATATTTTGATTTCTCCTACATATTAAGAAAAAAGCTTAGAGGTTCAGAGCTCATTCTGAGTTGACTTCCTTCTTTTTTCACTCTCATTGACTGAAGGAGAAGGAACGTTCACATAGCTTCAAAGCTTTTTTAGCTGTAAAAGTCTGACTTTCAAGTCATCTGCCAGCCACTCAAGGTTTGATAACACGGATAAACCTCCAGGTGGCCTCAACGACTCTCTAAAAGAATGCAAATGACCAGCTCTCTGCAAGGAGTATAAATCCTTCCACTCCCCACCCTTGAGTCAGAGCAGAAGAAGCTTCTGGGATGAGAAGTGAAATGTCTTCAAAGGAAAACAAGAAAGTCCAGTTGCCTCCTGAAAAAGCACCTTTGGGACAACCATGACCTGGATAACGGAGAATCTCCTAGACATACTATAAGACTGCTATCACGTCACCCCTAGTCCTTCTCTTTGTTAGACTAGACATACCCGTAGAATTTATTTATTTATTTATGAGACTTATATACCGCTTTAAGTGCGAGCACTCTCTAAGCGGTGTACACCAGTAAGCAATGTATATATATATTACATTGCCCCCAACAATCTGGGTCCTCATTTTACCTACCCCGGAAGGATGGAAGGCTGAGTCAACCTTGAGCTGGTGAGATTTGAACCGCTGACCTGCTGAACACAGTCAGCTAAAGTGGCCTGCAGCACTGCACTCTAACTGCTGCGCCACCTCGAATAATTTGTAACTGTGACTGGTTTTGAGGCATCCATGCTTCAGACAGGAAGGCGGTGCAGAGAGTGATGGGGATGGCTGAAAAGATCATTGGCAGCTCCCTCCCTCCCATCCAGGACATAGCACAGAAGCGTTGCTTGAGCAGGGTCCGTAAGATCATCTGGGACACGACACATCCTCTTCACGACCTGTTTTCCTTGTTACCTTCTGGGAGGAGACTTCGTGGTAGCCGAAGCAGAACATCCGGATTCAGCCAGAGTTTCATTCCATACAGCATCAACCTTGTGAACTCTCAAGCTTCCTCCTTCCGTTAGATATTCAAGATGGACAGTATTTAATATTTAATTGTTATGTATATGTAGGGGTGTGGATCTGTACATATGCTATACATAGTATCTTTAGGTGTGTGTCATGTATTAGTTTCACTTTGAGAGCAGGCAACTCAATTTCATTTTTGATGTGTGCCGTGGTGCCCACAGTAAAAAAGAATGACAATAAAGATTATCTTATCTTACTAGATGAGAAACTGCATTAAGCTTTTTAATCAGTGGGATCACAGGTAGACCTCATGGAGAGGTGACTGATTTGGACGTGGTGCCTCGTGTGGCTTCATAGCATCACTTACTTCCCGGAGCTGAAGAAGGCTCACCAAGAAAGAAACATAGACATCCCCAGCTGCATTGTTTATAGAAGCAAGGGTCACCCTTTGCTGTGATTATTGTGGGTTTTTTCCCCCTTTCTTCAGCCTTATCTGCAAGAGCATAAATAACTGTACTAGCTACTGGCAATGCAAGCCACTGGGAAAAAAAACCACTATTAAAATGTTAAGCATCAGCTGGATGAAATATAATCCAATTACCCAGCTTCCTTATAAATGTACAAAATAGTTAAAGGGAAATTGATTTTATTCCAGGTAATGACAAATTGTTGTTGTTGGTTTTTTTTTTTTTAATGGAACAGTAATAGGCTAATGGGCTGCCTTAAATTGCAGCTGTGTGGTCCGGCTAGGGCTTCTAAATATTAGGGGTTTGTTTAAGAAATCTTGGAAAAATGGATGCAGTTTTCTTTCACCTCTCCCTCCCCCGAGTAGTCTGGGCTGAACCCATACTTTTTTTTTGTTTTTTAAGAAAAAATGATTTTTCTCAATTAAAAATACTAGAATAGGTTACATCCCTCACCCATGGTACTCTTTCCATGTTATTTTTTTCCTATGGATGTACAGCCCAAGGCAGGGGTAGGCAACCTTGGCTCTTTTATGACTTGTGGACTTCCAACTCCCAGAATTCCTGAGCCAGCATGGCTCAGCTTGGAAACCTCTCCCTTTCCCCTCAGCATGGCTGGCTCAGGAATTCTGGGAGTTGAGGTCCACGAGTCACAAAAGGGCCAAGTTTGCAGACCCCTGAGCTAGACGAACATATGACTGTTTCCTCTTACTCTTTGCTGTATGCATCCTTCTCTTCCTCCAGCTTGTCAATCAACGGGACCATGGAGCGGCTTTCCTGCCAATCTTCTGGCCTTCCAGAACTTTCTTCCAGGCTTTGGCCAGTTCCATCATTCCTCCGCTTCTGATCGAAATCCTCATTTATAGTCTCCGATTTCCTTAGCGGGTTGCAAGTCTCTCGTTCTGTCTCGTCCACGGTTTCTTTGATTTCTGCCTTGGTTTCTTGAGTGGGCATCCTCTTAAGATGATCTGCAATGACCTCTTCTGGATTTGGGGACACCATGATATTTTTCCCACTGTCTCCCGAAATGAGGTTTTCGTGGATTATCTCAGCTGAGTAAGGCTCTTTTTCACCGTCATTCTTTGGCCCCAGACACAGTTCTTCTGATTTATTGGGATTTTCACTGCTTAGAAGCACTTCCTCTTCCTTTTCTAGTTCTTTTTCCTCAAAGGGAACCCTCTTTTCCAGTTCCACCAACTGGTTTTCCTCCGACAGAGGAAGAGAGGGAGGCAGAGAAGGGAGCTGATGCGTAGAGCTGCGTAACGCCATATCCAGTTCCTCCTTGTCGCCATCGCTCTGAGCATTCCCGGACCCATCAGGGCTGCGTTGCACATCAACTGGTTTTCCAGAGCTGATTCCCAGCAGCTCATTTCCGGACCGTCCAAGGTCTTCAACCAGACGCAGCAGCTGGGTGTTTAATCCCTGAAGCCACTTTGCTAGGCTCTCCCATTCTGCAACAGCAAAAGCAAGGACCTTTTAGGAGCAACTCCTTAAAAAACAAAATGTCCAGCTGAGAGAATGAAAAGGGAAAGAAAGAAAGAATGAAAGAGAGAGAGAGAGACAGAGAGAGACAGAGGAAGGAAGGAAGGAAGGAAGGAAAAGAAAGAAGGAAGGAAGGGAGAGAGGAAGAAAGGAAGGAATGAAGGAAAGGAAGGAAAGAAAAAAGAAAGGAAGGAACGAAGGAAGGAAAGAAGAAAGAAAGGAAGGAAGGAACAAAGGAAGAGAGAGAGGATGGAAGGAAAGAAGGAAGGAAGGAAGGGAGAGAGAGAGGAAGAAAGGAAGGAACGAAGGAAAGGAAGGAAGGGAGAGAGAGGAAGGAAGGAAAAGAAGGAAGGGAGAGAGGAAGAAAGGAAGGAATGAAGGAAAGGAAGGAAAGAAAAAAGAAAGGAAGGAACGAAGGAAGGAAAGAAGAAAGGAAGGAAGGAACGAAGGAAGAGAGAGAGGATGGAAGGAAAGAAGAGAAAGAGGAAGGAAGGAACGAAGGAAAGAAGAAAGAAAGAAAGAAAGAAAGAAAGAAAGAAAGAAACTCAGATGCAACGATATAGATTCAACGATATAGATTCAAAGCTTCTATTGTCATCGTCACATGATGACGGCAGCTGAGACATTGATAATTTTAGGCCCCTAAATTCAAAGTTCATTCCAGGCCCCCAAGTTCCAAGTCCATCCCAAGCCCCTAAGTTCAAAGTCCATTCCTGCCCCATTTGAAAGACCCTCTATCCCACAATAAGCCTCTTTCAGGACGGCTGAAAACTACCTTTCTCTTCTCCGAATTTGCAACCAAGGCAGAATCTGCTGAGCCCCCAAACCTTCACTTTGCAGTTAAAAGGTAAGAAATGTTTTGACAGCCTCTGGAAAGTCTCCCACATGCTAATCTTTTCCCTCAGTGTCTCTCAGAAAGTTGGGTGTTTGCCAAGTCCTTCCTCCTCAAGACTCAACAGATAATGAAGCCGCTAGATATTGAAAACATGAATGAATGTTTGGTTAGGGCAGTGGTTCTCAACCTTTTTAATGCCGCGACCCCCAACCGGTCGTAAGTCGAGGACTACTCAACCGGTCGTAAGTCGAGGACTACTCAACTGGTGCAGCACCGTTTGCAGAATGGGACTTTTGGCGGGCTCAGCAGGGCAGAGACAGCCTGGACAATTCCTATTGGCTTTGGAAAGCCAATAGAATTAGACCCTATTCAAGAGAGTCTATTCTATTGGCTTTCAAAAGCCAATAGAATAAAAGGGAATAGCACAGCTAAGGAAAAGGGGGGGGGGAAATGGTGGACTGCGTTGTTTGGTGACTCCCATGAAATGGTCGTTCGACCCCAAATGGGGTCCCGACCCACAGGTGGAAAACCACTGGGCTAGGAGCTTTCCAAGGTAATCCGCATCCCAAGGACGATTTTTCATGAGGTAAGTGGACCATCTCATCCAAGATGCTTCTTCAACTCTGACTGGATGGTGGAGGAATGGAAGGAGGAGAACAAAGCCATCAGGACAAGATTCAGCAGCCCATCTGCATTTAGAAGACCAAGGCCGCTCTTTCGAAGACAGCAAAGTCCACATTTTGGACAGAGAGGACCGCCGGTTTGAAAGAGGGGTCAAAGAGGCCATCTAGGTCAAAACTGAATGGCCCTTCCTCAACAGAGGGGGAGGGATACGACATCACCTATCTCCATCTACCACACAGCAACTCCAAGAAGGCTCCACACCCATTTGCACCAGTCAGGTGACCCTGAAGACACAGATAGGCCTCCAAGTGGCCTCCATGACTCTCTAAAAATGCAAATGACTAGCTGTCTGCAAGGAGTATAAATCCTTCCGTTTTCCCACCATCCAGTCCGAGCTGAAGAAGCTTCTGGGATGAGAAGCGAAATGTCTTCAAAGGAAAACAAGAAAGTCCAGTTACCTCATGAAAAAGCACCTTTGGGCTGAGGTAAAAAGAAGCTCCACCATCTTTCTTCCCGTTAGGCCTTCCTTTTAGAGAGTCATTGAGGTCACTTGGACCCTGAGGACACAGACAAAACTCCAAGTGGCCTCAACGACCCTCTAAAAGAAGGCAAATGACCAGCGGTCTGCAAGGAGTATAAATATAAACCGTTCCATTCCCCACCAATTCAATCAGAGTTGAAGAAGCTTCTGGGATGAGAAACGAAATATCTTCAAAGAAAAAGAAAGAAAGTCCAGTTACCTCATGAAAAAGCACCTTTGGGCTGAGGTAAAAAGAAGCTCCGCCATCTTTCTTCCTGTCAGGCCTTCCTTTTAGAGAGTCATTGAGGTCACTTGAACCCTGAGGACACAGACAAAACTCCAAGTGGCCTCAACGACCCTCTAAAAGAAGGCAAATGACCAGCGGTCTGCAAGGAGTATAAATATAAACCCTTCCATTCCCCACCCATTCAGTCAGAGCTGAAGAAGCTTCTGGGATGAGAAGCGAAATGTCTTCAAAGAAAAACAAGAAAGTCCAGTTGCCTCGTAAAAAAGCATCTTTGGGATAACTATGATCTGCAGGACTGAGAATCTCCATAGAAATCTGTCTGCATATGCCTTAAAAAAAATCTGATTTATTTTACCATGAAAAGGAAACCAACACAAGGTAAAGGAATTTGTTTTCAGGAAATTAAAAGGGTAAAAAAAAAAAAAAAAAAAAAAGGCAAGTGAGACAATGGTGAATCTCTTGAAAGCATATTGGAAGATTGTTTCTGCCTAGAGAAGGAAAATAAAATTTGGGACCAGGCCATCCTCGAGAATGACAAGAGTTTTAATAAATGCATGAGTCAGATGGCTGGTATTTTGAATACAGGTAATCCTCAAGGTAGCATAGCAACGGAGTCCCAAATTTAAGTGAGATGGGCTGTTAAATGAGTTTTGTCCCCTTTTACTGCTTCTCTTGCTACTAGTTGTGTGAAGTGAATCACTGCAGTTGTTACGTTAATTCCTGCTAATGAAGGACTGAATTAAGTTTAAAGACTTAGAGTAATTAAGTTTAAAGACTAAGGAAAGACTGAAGCAAGTTTCATGTCCTTCAGCGCCATCTGCTGGCCATTGTTGAAAACAGACTCCCTGGATATAGACATAAGCTACCAAATGTTAGAATAGAGTAGAGTAGAGTAGAGTAGAGTAGAGTAGAGTAGAGTAGAATAGAGTAGAGTAGAGTAGAGTAGAGTAGAGTAGAATAGAATAATGGTACGGAGGAATAGAATAGAACAGAATAGAATAGAATAGAATAGAATAGAACAGAACAGAACAGAACAGAATAGAATAGAATAGAATAGAATATAGAGCAGAGTAAGTAGAGTAGAGTAGAGTAGAGTAGAATAGAATAGAATAATGGGATGGCTAGAATATAGAATAAGAGTAGAATAGAATAAGAGTAGAATAAGAGTAGAATAGAATAGAATAGAATAGAATAGAATAGAATAGAATAGCATAGAATAGAATAGCATAGAATAGAATAGAATAGAATAGAATAGAATAGAATAGAATAGAATAGAATAGAATAGAATAATGGAATGGCTAGAATATAGAATAAGAGTAGAATAGAATAGAATAGAATAGAAAAGATTTTTTTTTTTACTTCTGACAAGCAAAGCCAACGAGGAAGCCAGATTACTGTAATTGTGATTACTTGCTAATATCTGCGGACAGAAATAGAGCTGGGAGAATAGGACTACAAACCGATTACAGAGATAATAGTCCTTTTGACATTTATTTTGAATTTTCAAACGCAATATTATGCCATGGAACCGATTGAGGAAATTACCTAGCTAAAACATTGCTTTATACGTTTTTAACGGTTTCTCATCTCATCTGCATATATTCCACAAATAAAGCAGAGGGAGAAATGGCTTTTTTTTTTTTTTTGAAAACTAGGCTGAAGTTAAGAGAAAGAAACACATTCTTAAAAATCTTTTATGGGAGACACAGCTCTGGAAATGTACGTGATTTAGATTCAGTGGTGGAAAAAGTAAGGGTCTACATTTAGGCAAGAAAAACCAAATGTGCAGGTATAGTATAGGTGGTACCTGGCTTAATAGTAGCAACTGTGAGAGGGACCTCGGAGTCCTAGTGGACAATCACCTAAATATGAGCCAGCAGTGCTGCAGCTGCCAAAAAAGCCAACTCAGTGCTGGGCTGCATTAACGGAGGGATAGAATCAAGATCAGGTGAAGTATTAATACCGCTTTACAAGGCCTTGGTAAGGCCACACTTGGAATACTGCATCCAGTATTGGTCACCACGATGTAAAAAAGATGTTGAGACTCTAGAAAGAGTATAGAGAAGAGCAACAAAGATGATCAGGGGACTGGAGGCTAAAACATATAAGGAACAGTTGCAGGAATTGGGTATGTCTTGTTTAATGAAGGATGAGGGGGGACATGAAAGCAGTCTTCCAATATCTCAGGGGCTGCCCCAAAGAAGAGGGAGTCAAGCTAGTCTCCAAAGCCCCTGAAGGCAGGACAAGAAGCAACAGATGGATAATCAAGGAGAGAAACAACTTAAAGCTAAGGAGAAACTTCCTGACAGTGAGAACAATTCACCAGTGGAACAACCTGCCTCCAGAAGTGGTGAATGCTCCGACACTGGAATTTTTAAAGAAGAGACTGGACAGCCATTTGTCTGAAATGGTATAGGGTTTCCTGCCTGAGCAGGGGGTTGGACTAGAAGACCTCCAAGATCTCTTCCAACTCTATATTACTATTATTATTATTATTATTATTCTTCACTGGATCTGGGAGACCAATTGAATCTAATTTTACATATTTAACTTTAAAACAGAAGCCGGAGCTTTGATTCATAGGCGCATTCAACAAGGAACACTGATTCATAGCTAGTGAACCCCTAATCCTGGTTGACAAAATGTGGTATTACTTGCCTGTGCAGGAACCCTCTTGCTCACGTTGATGATAGACCATATTCAGCAACTGGCAAGAATTCTGGAGAACTTTAGTTGTGAACTCCAAGTGTTGACCAAGAGTTTTGACCAGAGCCAGAAGCAGCGGAGTTAGTTGGGATGGATATTCCATAATCTCCTCACCCTCTTGATGATTCCCTTTCAGAACAGATTTGTTTAACCTCAGATTGTAATGCTGGATCTCCTCCAATATGTGATCCGGATGGCTGGTGATGGTTTCCATGGTTTCCCTGACAAATTCTTAAACTAATAGTGAATTTCTCCGTCCTCCCCACTCCTTTTACATCAAGACAAAATGTCAACCTTTTTCTTCTTTCCAACCAATTCTGTACAGGAGTCCTCCTTGCAAGAAAATACCAAACGGGCTGTTGATGACAAATAGTTACTAGGTGACAAACAGGTGTGGCCTTCTCAGAATAAAGCTCGAAGTATTAATGTGTGGATTTGTTTACAGGTAAGGATGGGCCTTAAAAGGTGAAATGATGACACTGCTATGTGTGTGTGTGTGTGTGTGTGTGTGTGTCTGTGTCTGTGTCTGTGTCTGTTTGTGTGTGTCTCTCTGTGTGTCTCTCTCTGTGTGTGTATATATATATATATATAGATAGATATAGATATATAGATATAGAGATAAATAGATAGAAATAGTAGTAGTAGTAGTAATAATAATAATAATAATAATGAAGAAACAGTGGACCACTTGGTAAGCTGTTGCAAGAAGATTGCACAGACTGATTACAAGCAGCGGCATGACAAAGTAGCAACAATGGTGCATTGGAAGATCTGCAAAAAATATCATTTGCCTGTAAGCAAAAACTGGTGGGATCATAAAATAGAGAAAGTCATAGAAAATGATAAAATTAAACTGCTCTGGGACTTCAGAATTCAAACAGACAAGCACCTGCAACATAACACCCCAGACTTAACAATTGTCGATAAGAAAGACAAAAAAGTCTGGATAGTGGACGTGGCAGTGCCTGGAGATAGCAGAATAGAAGAGAAAGAACTGGAGAAGATAACAAAATACAAAGACCTACAAATAGAAATAGAAAGACTGTGGCAAAAGCAAGCAAGGGTAGTACCAATAGTCATAGGCTCCTTGGGCGCAATCCCAAAACAACTGGAGCACCACTTGAACACCATTGGCATTGACAAATTTGCTATTATCAATTGCAAAAGGCGGCCTTATTAGGAACTGCTTCCATCCTGCGACGATACCTGTAATACCATCAAACATCCACATCTGCCTATCCCAGGTCCTGGGTAAGGACTCGATAGGTAGACAAAATGCCAAATCCAGTCTGAACATCTGGCTGACTGTGCGATGATCCATAATAATAATAATAATAATAATAATAATAATAATAATAATAATAATAATAACAGTTGGAAGGGACCTTGGAGGTCATCTAGTCCAACCCCCTGCTCAGGCAGGAAACCCTATACCATTTCGGACAAATGGCTGTCCAGTCTCTTCTTAAAAACTTCCAGTGTTGGAGCATTCACTGCTTCTGGAGGCAGGTTGTTCCACTGGTTAATTGTTCTAACTGTCAGGAAGTTTCTCCTTAATTCCAGGTTGCTTCTCTCTTTGGTTAATTTCCATCCGTTGCTTCTTGTCCTGCCTTCAGGTGCTTTGGAAAATAGCTTGACTTCCTCTTCTTTGTGGCAGCCCCTGAGATATTGGAATACTGCTATCATGTCCCACCTCGTCCTTCTCTTTGTTAAACTAGACATACCCAATTCCAGCAACCGTTCCTTATATGTTTTAGCCTCCGGTCTCCTAATCATCTTTGCTGCTCTTCTCTGTAGTCTTTCTAGAGTCTCAACATCTTTTTTACATTGTGGTGACCAAAACTGGATGCAGGATTCCAAGTGTGGCCTTACCAAGGCATTGAAGAGTGGTATTAATACTTCACATGATCTTGATTCTATCCTGCTGTTAATGCAGCCTAGCACTGTGTTGGCTTTTTTGGCAGCTGCAGCACACTGCTAGCTCAGATAGATAGAGATAGATATACATATAGAGATAGATAGATAGATAGATAGATAGATAGATAGATAGATAGATAGATATAGATATAGACAGACAGACAGACAGATAGATAGAGATAGATGGATAGAGATAGATAGATAGAAAAATAGAGAGATAGATAGATCCTGTTGTTAAAGTTCTCATTTAAATTTATTTTCCCCACAATGTTCAAAATACATTTTTATCTGTTAAGATTTTCTTAGAGTTAATTACACTCGCTAATGACTTCCCAATCTGTCGCTTTTCCTGTCCGAGTATTATCAGTTCTGCTTCGCTTTTTAAGATCATGCCACAGCGTGCACAGTCTTATTGCATGAGGTAAGCCAGGAGTAAACACAGTAAACAGCGGTCTATATTAAATGGTGGTTTATCTTACACTAGCTACAATATCATACACCAGGAACAATATACGTATACCTGCGAATACAGCAGGATCCAACAAACCACAATTACAGCAGGAAACAGAAGAGAGAGAACATGTCAGCAGAGCCTTCCCTTTATAAAATGCTCTTAAAGAGACACAGACCCTGCTGAGCCATTCCCATCATTATATCTTACATCTTACATTACATAAGCTGGTTAGCTGTCAAATCATTACCTTGACAGATCAGCTATAGTGAACCAGATGCTGCCATCTAGCTGAGCCTTAGTTTTTCTATAAGCTCTCTTGCTGGCTCAGAGAACTTCCTGGGTCTTTACGCTGAGCATCAGAGGAAAAATGAGATCCTTCGGCAGTCTACACAACCACAAAATGAACACCACCGACCTAAATCACCAAGAGGGTCATGGAACCGTTGAGTATTGGTGAAGAAAACACAAGGGAACTGAGTAAGTCTAGTCTAACGAAGAGAAGGACTAGGGACGACATGATAACAGTAGTAACTGTCAGAGGGATCTCGGAGTCCTAGTGGACCATCCCTTAAATTTGAGCCAGGCCATGTGCTGCAGCTGCCAAAAAAGCCAACACAGTGCTGGGCTGCATTAACAGAGGGATAGAATCCAGATCACGTGAAGTATTAATAACACTTTACAAGGCCTTGGTAAGGCCACACTTGGAATACTGCATCCAGTTTTGGTCACAACGATGTAAAAAAGATGTTGAGACTCTAGAAAGACTACAGAGAAGAGCAACAAAGATGATTAGGAGACCGGAGGCTAAAACATATAAGGAACATTTGCTGGAATTAGAAGAGGGAGTCAAGCTATTTTCCAAAGCACCCGAAGGCAGGACAAGAAGCAATAGACGGAAACTAATCAAAGAGAGAAGCAACCTAGAATTAAGGAGAAATTTCCTGACAGTTAGAACAAGGAGTTGGACTAGAAGACCTCCAAGATCCCTTCTAACTCTGTTATTCTTTTTTTCAAAGATGTCGAGACTCTAGACTGAATGCAGAGAAGAGAACAAAGATGATAAGGGGACTAGAGGTTAAAACATGAAAAACAGTGGCAGGAATTGGGTATGTCTAGTTTAATGAAAAGAGGAACTAGGGGTGAGATGATCACACTATTTCAATATTTGAAGGGCTACCACAGGGAAGAGAAGAGTCAAGCTATTCTCCAAAGCGCCTGAAGGCAGGACAAGAAGCAATGGGTGGAAGCTAATCGAGAGAAGCAACCTAGAGCTAAGGAGAAATTTCCTGACAGTGAGAACAATTAATCAATGGAACAACAACGATTCACAACAACTGTAGCAAGAAAGGTCGTAAAATGGGGGCAAAACTCACTAAGCAACTGTCTCAGTTAGTCACAGAAACTTTGGGTCAATTGTGGACTACCTGTATCATGTATGTTCAAAGCCCAGGGTTTGAACAATAAAAACAATAAAAATGGGTTAACATAAAATTTAAAATAAAGAAGAAACCTCTAGAGCAGGGGTAGGCAACCTTGGCTCTTTTATGACTCATGGACTTCAACTCCCACAATTCCTGAGTCAGCATAGCTGACTCAGGAATTCTGGGAGTTGAAGTCCATGAGTCATAAAAGAGCCAAGGTTGCCTACCCCTGCTCTAGACCGTTAGGCTGAAATAAAGGATGTTACAATTACGTAGAGAACTCAAATATAGTAGGATAAAATGTGAGACATTATCAGTAGTTGTTGTATTATTTTCAAGGCTGCAATGAGGATTATTTTTTTAAAAACTTTTTAAATCTGGAGTTAGGTGGATTAAACTTCACATTTAGCAGTTACTGCACCAATTTAGCAGTGACGTATCACAGGACACCCAGGCAAATGAATTCCGTGGTTTTATTTCTTTTTTTAAAAAAGAAACATTTGAACGGGTGTTTGATTTGAAAGCCTGGTGCGTCTGTTTTGTTTTACTGTCTGGTGGCGGTGTGATGTGCTGTAATCTTAGAAGGCTTATGTTGTTTTGGGTGAACCTTTGATCCTTTTCCTGTAGCTGGAGGCCTTTCAAGGCACTTAGATTACAGCCCTTAACAGTTATTAATTCTTATCTCAAGGCCTTCAAACCCTTTACCTTGAGTCCAATTTGATGTAAATAATGGAGCAGGCTGTATATTATTTCTCCTAAGGAGCCCTACCCATGTCATTTTCAGGATCAAGTGAGTCCCAAACTTATGTCGGTAAGTGAAAGGCTTGTTAACGGAGTTTTCCCCCATTTTACCACTGTTAGTTAGCCAGCAAATGGTTAGTTTTACCTTCTGGATGCAAGGGAGTGTAAAGGTTGCACACATGGGAGCTGTTAAGGCTGCATGTGTTGTGCAGACTCTAAAACTGGGGCTTCGTTTAGCAGCCTGGTTACACATGCAAGGAGAAGACAGTCAAACCAACAAACCCGTCTCCAAAATCCTAGAAGAAGGAGGAAGGCGTGTTGGATAGGTTCACTGCCTTGAATTATTTATTCGGTAATAAAGGTGGGAAATGAAAAAGAAAGAAAAAGAAAGAAAGAAAGAAAAAGAAAGAAAGAAAGAAAGAAAGAAAGAAAAAGGAAGGAAGGAAGAAAGAAAGAAAAGGAAAGAAAGAAGGAAAGAAAGAAAGAAAGAAAGAAAGAAAGAAAGAAAGAAAGAAAGAGGGGGAGGGAGGAAGGAAGGCAGAAATCTCCCAACCCATTTCTTAAGAAAATGCAGTGCTGAATAGAAAAAACAAAAAAACAAACCCGCCATCCTTCTTCCAAGTTCAAGAATCACACTTTGAGATGAGGCTACAAAAGAGTTGGTAACCACGAACATCTTTCAATATTGTGGTCCTCAGATTTTGATAGTGTGGGCTCTCCGAGCTGGGTGGTTTTCTTGCAGACGTTTCATGACCCAACTAGGTTACCTCATCAGTGCTAGAAGGAAGTGGAGCTTGCTTTCCGTTTCTATATCTAGTCGGGTCGTGAAATGTCTGCAAGAAAACCACCCAGCTCAGAAAGCTACAAAGATTCTCTTTATTGGTACAAC